CGACATGAATCTCGGTTGGAATTTGTTCTTTTCCGTAACTTTTATTACTCTTAACAAACCGATCCCGTTAGCCCAAATGAGCCTATTTATTCTTTGTAAATATTTAGAACAAATGACTCGAGAGAACACACTTAACTTGAAAACAGGAGAAACCCTTAATGTGGCCTGAGCAGATTTATAGAGCGGGTTTACGGTTAAGTCACGCAACTGAAGTCGCCAAGAATTTGAGCATTTTCAATGTATATGCGATGCCTCGGAATTCCGTATTCAACTTAATAACTGAGTTTCGATCTGGAATTCAAAATTCTCAAACTCTAAGTTCTCGGAAAATCTCTCAGGACCATTCTTCACCCCTTACGCTTTCATTAGTGCTTTGATAAGTGAGTGAAAAGGATGGCCATCGCTGTAACATGCTTTTGTAGTCAGATGAAAAAATATATAAGCGTCAATATTTATCAAGGGACTCTGCTGGTCATTATAGCACACTAATATAAATAATAGCTCCTAATTTTGGGAGCCTTGGGCTTATTTCAAAAGAAGCAGGACGATGTGCCAACAGAACAAGGTTAGCATACAACATTGATCAAGGCAAGAGTAATTGAAGCAATACGGGATTTAGGACTGTCATCATACACAAAATAATTTGAAATCATTAGCGCAGCAACAAACACTAGTCAATCCCTTGAAATTCTACTTTAGCAGGATGGTACAGCAGTCAAGAAGTACCAAATAATAATGATGATAGCTTTTGCCATATCAAATAGGTTGAGGTTAAGACCTAGAATGCTTCGAGGGATAACAGAAGTGGAAATGTCTACCACTATTCTTGGTCATCAAGTCAGCATGCCGATCTGCATTTCACCCACAGCGCTACACAAAATGGCTCACCCTGATGGCGAGGTTGCCACTGCAAAAGGTAATGCTGAATATCTCAAATTCAAAGTTTTTTGAGGAGGTACGTCCTCGAGACCCGCTATTTCCGATCGTCTCCCACCTTGTCCCCTGATGATGCTTGTTAGGACATCGCACAGCTTCTCTCTATGATGGGATTCATTTTTAAGGTTGCCACTGCAAAAGGTAAAGGCTGAATAGGACCCCAAAAATTGGAGAGTTTGATATGCTGAGTGTCTCACCCGTGGCCCACTCGCTCTTCAGAACCACTTTTTGATCGGATGAACACATTCTGTTTTTTATGTTCCACGTAGGAGCGATTGTATCGTTCCCTTTCTATTTCCATGGGGTGCTTATATGCGTGACGTCATTAAACTCTCACCTCCCCATCCATTGAATTCCTGCCATACGGACCTGYTTAGGTAAGAAACAGAATATTATCATTTACAATAAACATGGTTATTTTGGCTTCTAATTTTCAGCTTGTGCAAAGTCAAAAACTCTTATGACACATAGCTTTTWTTCCWCGTCAAAAATGGAGGATGTCGTGAATGCTCTTGGTCAAGCACCTCGCTTGCAGCACTTGTTCATATGGAACGACAAGAAAGAATTTATAAGAAAAYTAATCCAARAGGAGGAACGATCGGGAGTAAAAGGCTTTGTTATAACAGTTGACGAGGCCGTGCGAGGGAAAAGGCGTTCGTATACTTGCACGACTGAATTTATTAACTACCATCTTAAGACAATGAAAATATTTGTGCCGAGAATTGATGAAATGATCAGTAAACCGTGAGTATATATTAATTTCATTTTCTGTAGCCCAAATCTATGCATTAATTTT